GATGTTTTGAGGGGAGGTTTGTTGTGGGCTGCCCGGTTGTGTGGCTGGGGGGGGGGGGTGTTGGTATGTATTATTCTTTTGGGTGGATCGGGTGTGTACGGGGAGGGGGGTGAGGGGGGAGCCGCAAATTCTCGAACTTAAAACTTACACGCACTATTTTCTTCGAAAATATATGTGAGTTCCACAAAATAGTGGAACATATTCTATTTTGAAATGGACAATAGAATCCTCATTTGTAGGCACCCTTCTTGGTCGCTCTATACATTCATTTGTACTATTGGCATTATATGGCCAATCCTATGATAAGTATCATATAATAACTCTATCATAGATCGATAGAGATAGGTGAGTTTGTGCTTTTACACCCGATCTTCATAGTCTGAAGAACACAAAATAAAATATTGTTAATAAAAAAATTGCAAGACTCACTATGAAAATGATTAGTTGTCCTTGAGGCTTAAGCAACCGGAATGCTTGGTCAAGGGCTTCACCAACATCAAATACATGATAGAGACACTGCACAAAAAGAATGACATCGAATTGATTATTGAGCAAATTAGACATGCAACTAGGCCATTCACCAATAATCACAGTCCCATTCACACCATTCAATGAACCCAATAGATTTTGACTGGCGTTTGCACTATCAACATGCGGTTCTATACCAACATATACCAGAGACGACTTGTGACCAATCTTTACAGTACATAAGAATAATAATTTTGCTTCAAGTATTTCTATCTATAATTCTGTCTCAGTATGATCGTCACGGATATTACAGTATATTATAGTGTAGCGAATAATATTGATTTTTCACCGACTTCTTTTTTCCACGATGTATTCTCTATTTCTGTTCTCTCTTTCTCTCGCATGCCTGTGATAAGATATTTTGCTTTATCTTTCGGCTAGTCATGTATTGATTCTATCATGCACATTGGATGAACATTGATCTAATTGTCTTACTCATATCTTGTCTAATATCGTTGTGTCTACAAAACTANCGAAAAAGCGTAGCTCATCAGCTATAGAACATTCTGATTGGTTGATTCACGATTGGTCTACAGAAACTTCGATTTTCTCGGAAATGGCTCTTAGGCCGAAAAATCTAATTACACTAGAAGGTCTAGCTCATTTTTAGGAACAAAATGACACCAAGAAAAACCTTCTAAAAATTGGCACAAATGGTGCACTGCTAAGTGCATTAGTGTGTTCGAAATTTGCTATTGATTCGATGACTCATCCTGATTTGTCCACTGACTAATATTTTAATGTCATTGTAATATCACGTCAGAGACTATATCATTTGTTGACAATGCCATTAATCTTTCATTTTTTCAATTACTTCATCTATTCTATTCCACAATGACGGAAGGTGTTATAAACAAACAATGGATATAAATCTATACAAACCTTTATTTTTGAGAAGTGTCATTGTTAGAATAAAATATGAGTCGATCGAATGTTAATCTATTGGATTTACCTGATGAGATATTACTTCTTATTTTGAAAAAACTGAACAATATTGATGTTCTTTATTCATTTATCGACGTTAATAATGATCATTTGAACAGTCTAGCACGAGAAAAAATCTTCAGTGATACTCTCAATATTGTACCCATCGATAACGTTTCTGCAATTGATCAACAAAAACTTGATCGCTTTTGCAAGGTTATATTGCCAAAAATTCATGACAATGTGAAATGTTTTATTCTTGAACCACTTTCAATGGAATGTATTCTTCTTGCTGCTGATTATCCAAGTCTAATTGAACTTAAACTTTTTAATTTCACGCAAGAAATTGATTTAAATTATTTTACAAGTAAGAAAAATAACAGATAATGATGTTAGATAGAACAGGTTATAGAATAATTTATTATTTCATATTTAGATGAATCTTCTCTTCGATATATCTTTCAACAAAAACTTACACATCTTACTCTCGTAAATATTGATAAGCGGACTGAGATAGAATCATTGAAAAACTATAATAGAAATGTATATGAACATATCATGAAGTTCTTTAGAAATTTAAAATATTTGAGTATTATTGAAACACACTATCGATCATATCCACCTTTATTACTCTATAATTCACCATCAATTAGTTTTTCCTCTACAATTCTCGCTTATTTATGTATCAATGTGAACACATTTGATGATTGTCTTTATTTACTTGATGGTCGACTCAAACAATTAACTACACTTATTGTTCAAATATATAAAACAAGCAAATCTTCATCAGTCACTCCCAATATGGTAAGTTTTAACAAAGAATATCAACAATGATATGAAGTTGACTACCAATTCTATACACTTTTGTATTTATAAATATTCTTTTTTATCGCATAGGATAATTTACCTAATTTGAAATATTTTTCATTGAAATGTTATTTTCTACTTGATATATATGATGAGAAAATTTTACCTCTTCTTCATCATATGACATATCTGGAAAAATTAACTTTATATCTTTGCATACAAAGTCGAGGTACATTTATCGATCGTTCTCATCTTCAAAATGAAATTCTTCTTTATATTCCACATCTTCATTCATTTACTTTTTATATTAGTACTTATGATCTTGCTACTGATTTATTTCGTTATGTGCCTGGACATGATATTCAACGAATTGATGCAAATATTGGATACGAACAATATATGGCTAAGATGATAAATTATATCAATATTGATGAAGCTGTATGTACTATCTTCTCACTTCCTTTTGCATTTCATCGAATTCGAGCTGTTGGAAACATATTTCCAGATATTGTATTCAAATATGTTACCATCTTAGTGGTACATGATATAGTTCCATTCAATCATGAATTCTTTCTTCGGGTTTCTCGATCTTTTCCATTACTGCAGACACTTCATGTTATCAATCTTATATCACAATCGTCGTGCGATATTAACTCATTTTTATCTTACGATAGTCAATCATGCTCAATCGCTAAATATCTTCATCTCACCACATTTAACGTCAGACGGGGAAATATTAACAATGTTGAAGAATTTTTAAATGAAACGAAAACATCTATACCATGTCTAACCAAATTAATGATTAAATACAATGATTTGAGAATTGTGACGAAAAACTTTACAAGAGAAGAAACACGACACAATTGTAAGAACATAAAAGAACTTTTACTGTTCAATATACTCATACAAAAGAAAGATTTTTATCATTACTTTCCTTCGTTATAAAGGAAATATTGTTTTGATTTGTTCAATAAATTGAAAAAAAAAACATGATGAATGTTGTATTTCGATGAACGCTTTAATTAAGATATAAAGAAATATCGACTATTTATGATGTTGTACTAACGATTAGTGTTAAGATGGCGATACTTAGAAAGATGATTATAGAAGATATGAAAACAGTTCTAAAAATCGAATCAGCATGTTCCGTTCGTATCTTTGCACATCATAAAATAATATTTTAGGTTCATTAGGAAATCTTCACTCCTTAATATAAATGAGACAAAAGATAGTTTTTATCCGATTTTTTAAAATTGATTTATTAAATGACTTTTGTACGTCTATTGATCAGTGGAAGTGGGATTGATGCTTTGTGTTCAGAAATAGCTTTCGGCTTCTGTATTATGGGGATTGTATTGAATATTCAAGATAGATTGAAGTTATAGTCAAGAGCTGTTAGTAACATATTTTTCTCAATATCATGATTAGAGACCGGCATGACCAAAGAAAAAAAGATTGTTCGATAAGGGGTCAACCATAAGAGACGTCCGAGCAGACGAAAAAGGGAAGGATCAGTAAAAAATGGACATTTTTTGATAAGAAGGAAAGACAAGACCTAAGGAAAAAAAGCGATCTGTGATTTTATGATTTTAAACTGGATTAAGATGATTTTCGTGATTCGAAAATGAGTTCGTATGATTTAAATCATGTAAGAGTTCTATAAATGAACTTCTAGTGTTATCTACGACTCTTATCTTCTATATAACAAATAATTGAAATTATATGCTGTTTTTATTCGATTCTATTCAGACGCAGATCAGATCATTGCTAGGCTAATGAAGTAGTATACCAGAAAAAGTTTACAATTTGCGTCTATATATACGTCTGTAAAAAAATAGTTATAGTTCGTATTTTTAGTATATTGTCACTATAAAAACACATTTTTGAAAAATTAATTAAATATTCTGAAAGCATGTGGAGTTTTCTATCAGGGTGTGGGTGTGGGTGTTGGTATACATCTGAGGGCTGCGCAAATACGGGTACAACTTGTACTCACTTTTCTCTACCATAAGCATACCATTCATGTACTTTATGTACTACGTACTACGTGCTCCACATAGACTCCCCCATGTACTCTGAAAAAACCTAGAAATCTAGAATTCATCTGGTCTACATGCTATGTACTCTACATAGACCCCCGCATGTACTCTGAAGAAACCTAGAATTCTAGAATTCATGTACTCTACATACTATGTAGTTTACATACTATGTACTCATGTAGAGTAGATGAATTCTAGGTTTTTTCAGAGTACATGAGCCGATCTATGTAGAGTACATAGTATGTAGAATACATAGCATGTAGAGTACATGAGTTCTGGTTTTCTTCATAATGCAGGGGTAGGTCTATGATTGTAGTGGTACGAGTGGATACAAGTTGTACTCGTATTTGTGCAGCTATGATACATCTTCACTTTACTCACACCCACAACCATACTCACACCCCACACACCTACGCCCACACCCACACCCCACACCTACACACCCACACTCACGCCCAGAATACTTTGATCATAGCAGAGTATCTAAGAGAGCGAATAGCGCAACATAGTTTCAATTCCTATACGAAGAGTTTCGTTTTTTTATGCTCTTCTTAATTTTTTTTGCATCGATTTTTCTTAAATCTGTGTTTTTTTTACTTTTTATAAGAGACACTATCTTGAAACCTCAAAATGATGAGAGATAATTGACCAAGCTGATTGTGAAATATGCTATTTTCATTAAGAAAGAGCTCAGCCTTCGAAGTTCCATCTCGGGGGCTTGAGCAAACCACGTGAGAAAGCTTGCTTTCTCAAAAGAGAAATTATTCTTCTGCATGTTTCGAGATTGAAGTATAAACATGTCTTGAGAAAGAGATGGAATAAGTTAATATGATCGATTTCAGTCTAATAATATGGTCAACCATGGTTTGAATTGTTAGGAGGAGTCGTTTTAATCGCTATAGAAATTGAAAATTAGAATTTAATACAAGTTCATAATGCTAGATTTTATTCATATTATACTTCTTAATGCTTATGTCAGCTTAAAAATCTTAACAGAGCTTTGTCGATTGAGGTTTTCGGAATGCATCATCACACTGAAGATTTATATGACGAGTTATCAATACTACATAATATCATGTTTTTAAAATGATATCAGTAGCTGGAAGAAAGAGGGTAACACTCAAAAGAGATTGATAATGTATATCTATAAAAATCTTCTGTTTTTTTTTAAACATTTTGCACAAGAGAATTACGTTGATATAGTAAAAACGTTGTCTTTTGATCTTATCAGTGCTCATAAGATGTAGACTTTCTTGGAGCAAGCTTAAAAACATCAAAATAAGTCAGCTTGCCTATTTATCTGGCGTATATTCCTAATTAAATCTTTTGTTTTGTTATTTTTGCGATACACACCATGACATTATCAATAGTATTCAAACTGAAAGATTCTCTGGTCTTTCTCAAGAATATTTTCATTATTTTCTTTTTTTCTCTCTATAAGCTTTTTGTAGTTATAGTCATATATTTGAAGAAAATGAGTCAGCAATGCAAGTGGTGCACACACTCTGATTTACAGTTTTTGCAGTCCTCGAACGTAGAATAAATAATAATATTAATATGAAACACTTACTAAACCTTCGACTTAGTGACAAATTTACTCTATATAATTTAAACAAGTTGTTTTTCTTATCTATTCCTATTCCAAGAAGTTTCATTTACAAGACTTTTAAATCTTCGAATCGATATGTTAATTTCTAGCATGAGATTTTTTATGAGAGTTTGATCTTTGTGCATCTCACTAGGTACAAGTATTTTGTTCTATTAAAAGTTCCTTTCAAGAAAACCTTTCAGAGAGAAATATTGTATACTAAGAAGACTATTAAAATGACTAACTTTATTATTTTATCATTTTGAGAACTGATTGCCGACTCAACTAATACTTAACAAATCAATTTTAAAACTGTTTTTTTATTCAATTTCTTATAAAATAACCAATTTTTCTATGTGGATTTTATTCGCATGAAAAAATCTGATACACAAAATGGAACAAATAACTTAGAAAAATTAAATTTAACATCGATAAATAATTCAAAAAGCATTTTTTATTTTTTCTTTGAGAATGTATTAGTTTCTTTTAAATGCAAATCTCAAAACATTTTCGCAAAATGATGAAGACATGAAATGTTTTTTTATCATTTTCTATCTATCAGAAAATTTTCATTTGACTCATATATGAAATTTTGAGTCTCCAAATATTACAATAAATAATCAATTGGAATCAAAGATAATTTTTTACAATTTGGCTTTATTATTTGTCTAACTTTCATTTGTCTAATTCTCGAGCACTTATTAATCAATGAATCGAATCAAAAGTGGTTCAAAGACAAAGCAATACAGTATTTTCATTCTCTTTATTTTCTTCGAAATGATTTTTTTTCTACTGTATTTGTCGTTCTTTTGTCTTTTTCTTCTGCTTCAAATGAATATTTTCAAATAAGCTTATCCACATATTTTGTGTACCGTTAATCAAAAAAGACAAATTATAAATAAGCTTATCGTTATTGTGACTTATACTCATGGGCCCTTCTTCATCTATTACTGTTCTGGAAAACTCACAGTTTCTCAAAAAAAAAGAAGATAAGATTTTTACGAGCTATTTAATTCGAAACGAATCGCTGTAAATTCTTTTCTTTCAATCGAGCACTGTTCGCCAATCTTCTTGTTCTTAGTATTGCTCTTTTTCTTCAAACATCGACATAAATTCACATGTGTGCAGATGCGTACACATCAAAAATAAAAGATATGACGACTACAACAGTAATAATTATCATGTCACCAATATGTAGCCTTTTCAAATATTTTTTTATCAACATAAAATTGTATATCTTCCACTTTTCTGAAAACAATTAATTTAATTAAAAAGTACTAGATGAGTAAGACAATATATAGTCATACATATATATTGTTTAAATATTTCTTTAAAAATCATTGTTTTTTCTTTAAAGAGTTACTTTTTTTCTGCTAAAAAATGGAATCAGAATAATACAATGAAAACGATTGTTCCAGAGAATGATCTTGTGTTTCAGTAAAAAAGAAACAATCGAGTTTCTCATTTTTGTTCTTGTCCAAGTAGTAATTTTGATTGCCATTCTACGTTTTAAACTATGCATTGAATCAAGTTCACGATGATTTTTACTGCATGCTGTCATCATACAATAATAATGACGATCAACATAAGAAGAAAAAAAAATAACAATAATTGTGATCGTTTTGAACAAAATTATTTTTGATCTTATTTATTGATCACCGTGAAAAAAAAGACATCAGTATTTGTTGACCTGATGAAAAAAAATATTTAGAACCAAGACTAATTAGAGTAGACTTGAAATATTTGTTCGAAAATAAAATATCTTACATAACTACGACTCAATATTTTAGTGTAAGACTATTTCTCTTCTTCAGAAGGATTCTTTTCATTAATATTTTTCTGAGTTGTATTTTTTGAACTATAACTCGAATATCATCAACATTTTTAACAACACAACATTTATTTTCCTTCTCGATTAACCATACACATGATATATGAATCAGTGTATTTGAACATATTCATGTGAATCAGAGAGATAGACTCGTTCAGAAAGAGATAGTGAGAATGAAAAGTCTCGTAACTGATATTAAGACAATTTTAATCAAAATATAAAAATGGGCTATATTAATAGTTCCGTATAGACATCATTTTTCACTCATTTAAAGTTCTGCTATCAATGAATCAAACTTCAGCTCAAAAAAAATACTTGTATATAAATTCAGAAAGAACATGAAAATGGTTATTCTAGATGGCTACGTTAGATTTTCTTCTATGACTTATAAGTGGTCGAAAATTTCATAAACATGTTATGTGAAGACTTTTTAAGTATAGGTTGTTATTGTGAATCATTTTCATGATTTTAGAGATTTAGCTTTATACGGAGATCTAGCCATATATCGCTTAACATCTTAATGGAAAAAAAAGTTAGAAAATTGTATTTGCATAAATTTCATCATCGTTGATGTTGTTTAAGTTTCAGAGTTTGATTATTATCGATCCATTAAGAATTTGAATGACTATCAATGTGATCTGCAATGTAATTTCTTGATAAAGAAATGCTTATTGAATATTTTTTCATGTGTTAATCAGAAGAAGTATTTTCTCATTTCAATATTTAACTCAAGACACTGACATCTCAATCTTCAGATA